TAATTTATCACCAGTATTTGTGGTCCCGGTGTGAAGAAGACCAGAGATCTTATCCTCAGGATACCCTTCTCATTCTGTTCCCTCTCCCCAGGTGAACTCATCCATGCCCAGCTAATGACTCTCAGTCCTACAGCTCCGACCCAGCCTTTCCTCTGACTTCTTACCATGTATATTCAGCTGCCTTTAAATGTCTCCACTTGGATGTCTAAAAAATAGCTCAATATGTCCAAAATAAATTCTGTGAGCCAGAACATGCTCACGCCTTCTTCCCTTTTACTGTCTATATCCTTCCATTACTGTATCCCATTACTTTTCCCACCTAGTCGTTCTCAGACCATCCAATTCCCTTTGCCTTACTGCCCCACCATTTGTTTTCTGAACACTTCAGTAGCTTCCCATCTACTTTCCTCAAGTTCTCTCCTCCCCCTCTAACCTGTTGTCCACATTGTAGCTGGAGGCTCATTGTAAAATCACAAGTTAATGCTATCCATCTCCTGTGTATGACCTTTCTATGGTTTCTCTTTCTTCTTGGGCCAAAGACTGGAATTTTGGCTGGTCCCTGCCATATCAGGCTCCTGCTATCTCCTGTCTCCTTCAGGACTCTGGGCCCCTTGAGTATTGTTTGGCTCAGAGATGGTCCTCTGAGATTTGTGCGGTGGGTGAATGGCTGAATATCTTATGTTAAGTAATACATGAATGGCACGTCTATCTAGTTGCTGATAAAATCAGATACTAGACTGTTGCTGTTTCAGTGACTTCTCACCATTTTTTTTTTTTTAAAGAGAGTGCGTGTGGGAGCACGAGGGAGAGAGAGAATCTTAAGCAGGCTCCATGCCCAGAGCAGAGCCAGTCGGAGCTGGTCGATGCCCGTGGGGTGAGATCTCACAACCCTGAGATAGTGACCTGAGCCGAAATTAAGAGTCAGATGCTTAACTGACTGAGCCACCCAGGCACCCCTCAACATTCTTTTACCAATTTAACACAATCAGTCTTGCCTTGAAAAAAAATTGCCAGTTTATATAAACCCAGACATTCAAAATACAAGCTAGCCCTAAATGGTTTTGTTGTGAAATTGTGATCATAATATTAAATTCATTCTTTTCAGCCACCTCTTCACCCTTACCCACCCATCAGCCTCTTCTCCTTAGAAGACAGCAGTGAATTATCTTCAGAATATTTGACCAGTAGAGACACATTTGCTGTGCATGCCCCTATTCCCGTACAAAGGTTGGGTAAAATCCACTGAATTCCCTCTCCTTGCACAAACTAAAAACCAAAGCAAAAAAAATTTTTGGGGGGTAAAATTTTGATTATGCATTTCATAGTGATGTGCACAAAAATGTCGCTTTGTCATTATTCAGTCTTGAGATACTTATTGATTCTCAGATGGTTCTTGTTTCAATTGGGGAAGTGTTAGGAAATAATCTACTAGGAGGATTAGCCAGCAGTGCAATACCAGTATATAAAAGAGGGTTTGCCTACTATAGTGGGTTATGAGCCCATGCTTTGGGGGGAGGTGAGCAGAACTGAGTTTGAATCCTGGATTTACCCTTGGGTAACTAAATAATGTTGCAATAGATCCTAGTTCAGAGGGTTGTTATGAGGATAAAGTAATACGGTTAAAGCACTTCCCATCTGGTGAACATTCAGCGTGTGTTAGCTATGCACACACATCCCCAAATGAGCAGACAAAAAGTGGTATACTTGTAATAGTATATTGACTGTATGCTTTATAATAACCAATATCCAAGTTATATTTTTTTGAAGAATTGTTGTCTCTTAGATTCAGATATTAAAATATTTACAGATGAGATGATTTTATGTCTTGGATTTGCTTCAAAATCTGAAAAAGGATGGATCAGGTAGGGAGTGAAGGTATACACAAACAAAACTGGGCATGCATTGATAGTCGCTTATGGTCTGTGATCACCATGGGAGTTGTTATATTCTCTGTACGTTTGTATAGATTTGAAATTTTCCATGATAAAAAATTTTTTCAAATACATTAAAAATAGTTACTGAATAGCCTCTTAGAGTCATTCTTGTTCAAGGAGCCAGCTCTCAACTCACCTTCCTTTATTTCTTTTGGAAGAGTCACTGATTCCAGTGATCTAAGCAGAAAGACTCATGTCATTCTGTTTTATGACTCTTGGAATAGCTCACTGTGGAAACAAAATAAATAGAATTTCTGAATTTCCTTTGTCCTCGACCACTTGGGATGCTTCTCAGTGAAACCACTGTGGGCATTTTAAGTAACCCTGATTACCTGGCAACAACAATGTATAAAATAACTCTTTCTACCCTTCTGTGTGCTTGTATGACAAAAGTTATAGCTATGAAATACAGGGGCTCGATGCGCTAATGAATGATGAGCCCGTAATTGTGTATTTGGCATTTTGGAATCTGAGCCTCTGCCCTGTATGAACTTGTAATCTTCATTGTGTAGCTTTGTTAAGTTTGGCTGTTGAGTTACATGTTGGCATTGGAGGCTGGGAACTACTGCGAAGCCAAAAACTGACCTCTGCCTATTTCAAAGTCAGAAGTCATAGGATGACTTTTTTACTTTTGCCTTTTTTTTTTTTTTTAAGTAAAAATAATGATTACCCTTAGAATGGAAGCTGATGGTGGCCATGAATGAATCTTTAACCTTTGGATCTATTTGATGAACCCCGTCAATGTTTCACTCTTTCGTCTGGCTGCAAGCCGAGGAAAAGTATCATGATTGGGTCCATAACTGCCTTTCCAAAAGTAGTTTCCCTTCACCAGCATCACCAAAGCAAAGAATTTGAGCTTATATTTCAGGATTCTTCTTTTCCCTCTGGAATCCATCTCTAAGGGGAAAAGCACATCACTATCTGTAAGTGTAATTACTTTGGAACAAGGATCCCAGTGAGGTTTATGAAGCTTCCTTTATTCCCCTAAAAATAAGACAGGCTCTGAGTTGGCTAGGGCAGCTCACTGTTGTCTGTCTGAAATGCTTCTGTTTATCTCTTGGGGCAGCACCTTCTGCCAGGCCCAAGCTGGAGAGAGGGAGGAGGAAGGTTTAGCTCCAGCTAAGGGGAAGACAGGTACACAGACAGAGCCTTTCGGAATACAGTGCAGGGTGTACCATCATCGAGGCATGAACTGGGTACTCTGGGGGCAACGTTGACTATCTGGGGATATCGGGTCAGAACTTAGAGAGAAGGTGTGAGACATTTGGACCAAGGGCAGAACTGATAGCCTGGGATTATATTATGTTCTTAATTGAACCCCCTTGGGATCCCAATTTGGGAGTTTTGTCTGTTAGTTAGCACCTGGTATGAAACCAACAATGGCATTTCCCTTGGGCCTTATATAGTCCTGAGGAATGCCGAAAATGAGTCTGAAACACCAGGATTGAAGTGTGGCCTCGGGCATCCTATAACGGGGATGAGTCGAGCCCCCTATACTGCTCAGTCTGTCTTCCGGGCAGTGAGGCTGTGTCCCCGGACTTCTCTGTGCAGAGGGCATGGTACTGGGTGGCTTACAAAACTGATCGCAAGCACTTGTCTCTCCCGGAACAATTCCTGCTACCCATGACAGCAACTGAGTAATATCCAATTAAACCTCTTACTTGAGACGTTAGTCACAAACTCTCTTGAGCAATCACAAGTCAATTCTTGAGACCGTTGTAGGTTTCTGTTAGCACTTGTTTTCTGTTACCAAAGAAAATCCTTTACAAGTCCCTAGCAAGCCAACAGCTTTAGGAGAATTCAGAGACCCAGTAACCTTGTTTGGCAACATGAGAGAGCAGGCTCTGGGCACAGGTCCACACGGGCCTGGCTGGCTGGGCTAGAACATGGTGCTGACAGAGGCCGCCCCCAAGCTTACTCAGATCCCCCATGGTCTTGCTCTCTCCTGGGGCAGCAGACTGTAATCTCTAACCCTGAACACCTCTGATGTGTGCCATCTGTCCCAGAGGAGCCAGACAACCAGGCGCTAATAGGGCAGAGGGTCTGAGACCATTCCTGGAAGAATGGCTGAGAAAGACCATGCTCCTGGCAGTGGCCTCCCTCCCGAGTACATGATCATAGTCATCCCACCCACCACCCTGCATCTCGTGAGTCCTCCTTCACGTGGGCTAAATACGTCTTGCTTATATTGTGTGGGGGCTGTGGCGGAAGGAAACCGTTTCCATAGATCACAGCCCCCTGAAAACGGTTGCTTGTTGGAAAGTGGGATTTTGTATGGAGAAGGGGAACGAGGCCAGGTTTGGTTTCGAGTGGAAAAGGCTTGCTTTTCTGAAGTGGGCGCTCAGAGACCCAGCACACCTTTGCTTACTCCCAGGGAGACTGCCGCCAGGGGCACACAAGCCGAGAGGAGGCCTGCTCTGCGTTCCCACTGATGTGTGCCAGGAAAACTCCTCCACTTTCACCTCACTTATCGGGGATTCTTAGAAGACAGGACTTTGTTTTCATTCCTGGGTGTCTCTGGTGACCGCTGTCTGTGAGACCTGTGTGGTCAGGCTGTAGCAACTCATCAGCTCACAGGGCACAGCTTGGAAACTAGTCCCGCCCGTGCTGGCATCACCTACCTCCTCTGAGCTGAAACGTGATCCCGGGCTGGACAGACACCAGTCTTTCCCTCAGGCCAGGCAGGCCAACAGAACTGGATTCCCAGAGCAGGGCTAGACACACAGAGCCATGAGTGCCCCGCCACAGCCCACGGGGGAGGGGGGGGGCGGTGAGGCTCCAGAAGGTCAGTCCTACAGCGACTGTGGAGACGCCCCGGTGAGGGGGTACCATCGGGCCTCGGTAGTTGTATGTGGTTAGCCTATTCACAAGGGACCATCATCTAGGAACCATGAGGCAAATTTTGAGTTGACTAAAGCTTTTTCCAAGATAACCCAAAGAAGTTTGTTGCCTTGGAGGTGTATGCAGGAAGCTTGCTTGGTGTGGTCTCCTCAGCCACCCCACAAGCCAGCCCATCAGGGTTTGGGGCCTGGCTGTCCTACGCATTTTGCTCGCTCTTTCTTCCAGAGATCTCAAATTGGACAACGTACTGTTGGACCATGAGGGCCACTGTAAGCTGGCAGACTTCGGGATGTGCAAGGAGGGGATCTGTAATGGAGTCACCACGGCAACCTTCTGTGGCACACCCGACTATATTGCTCCAGAGGTGAGTGCAGCTTGGGCAATCCTGAGCATTAATGTCACAGGCTGTTTTGGTGCACTGAGCTCTATGGGCGCGTTGAAAGCTGACACCTCCATACTCCCTGATGCCTCATTGGGTGAATGATGCCCGAAAATGTCCTTGGTTCCTATAAATAACAATTTGAGTTAAAAAATGTGTGTGTAAACCTTGCAATTGCTTTAGGCATTTGCCCTGAATGAGGACAAAGTGTGCTGTGCTCCCAGCTATTTATCTTCCTCTTTGTCTCTACTCAGTGCTTTGGTCCCGGCCCCGTTTAGCAGAAGTAGAGAAAAGTGCCTCAGTCTTTCCCATGCGAGTGAGTGAGCCCAATCTCCTCCTCCCTCGACAGGGACACAGTGCCCAAACCCTTTCTGTTTTGGATCTGCACATGCCATTACCTTGGCCAAAACAGGCCATAAGTGCTTGATCACCTGGATGAAAGGTCCTCTGAGTTGAACCACAGAGAAAACAGACCACTCTCTAGAGATGAAATGAAACCTCTTTCCTAATACATCATTTTCCCTAGTCATTCAGGACACATTCATTGATCAGATGTTCTCACCTTGCCCCCTCTGCACAGATCCTCCAGGAAATGCTCTATGGACCCGCAGTAGATTGGTGGGCGATGGGCGTGTTGCTCTACGAGATGCTCTGTGGTCACGCACCCTTCGAGGCAGAGAACGAAGATGACCTCTTTGAAGCCATCCTGAATGATGAAGTGGTCTACCCTACATGGCTCCATGAAGATGCCACAGGGATCCTGAAATCTGTAAGTTTGGCTTACCCAGCCAGCTTCCGGCCTACTGCAAACCAGCTGGCTGTGTACTTCTTTGTGTTCTTCCAATACCTCGCACTAGTAAGCTCCCAGTGCTAACTGCAGTGTATGTTTTAACCTGCAGAATCAAAGAACCAGAATGTTTTCCTCTGGTTATGCAATAGTTCTTTCTGGGCCAACTGCGAGCCATTGATAACGTTGTTTGCCAAATATCAAGTATTTCTAGCACTTGTGGCTCTAGCGTAGGTGAAGTAATGCACCCCCTTTAAACAATCAGGACACGCCAGGGGGTTGGGTCAGGTGAATGCCATTCTTGCTTTGTTTGGGTATTGACTGTGTTTCTGGGATGAAGGGGTCTTTCCCTTAGTGCTGGGCAAGGCCAGGAGAGGTTTTCCAAACTTCTGCAGATCCCTTTTGGGTCCACATTATCCTAATGAATAATAAGTGAGGTGCCAGGCCCAGGATTCATGTGCAGTGAGGTTAATGTATCATGAAAAGTCTTTTTCGTGTACATTTAAGGTACCATGCTGGAAGCCTTATTTTGAAGTGAGGAGGAAACATGGATTTGATGCCTTTATGTTGAAAATAAAAAAGCACATGTGATCTGTGTCATTCCTATAACCACATTAGTTGAATTCACAAAGCATGTATTATTGCCTACTAGGTACATAGGGGAATAAAGATGGATAAAAGGTCAATTCTTCGAGGAGGGAAAAATCAGGACAATCCATTCTCTGTCGGATAGTTTCTAGGGGGCATAAGAATTACTTTTCTTAAGTTATACCCTTTCCAGTGACTTGGGGAGACAGAAGACTAAATTTGGGAAATATTGGCTATCTTGTTGGGAGACTTCTCTCTCTTTAGAAATCTTCAGTGATATAATCAGTGGCATTTCAAGAACACTTTATATGCCGGTCACCGTGTACTGGGGCTGAAGGCATGACTGTCCCTGAGAATTCTCCTTATCACTAAAAGTGAGATAATCATAGAAATACTTCAGGCAAATATTGCCAAAGTGAATTGTAATTGGTAACTTGATTCTCAAGGTTAGGTGCCAGTATTCTCCTGATATTGAGGAAACACTAATCTCTTATAGAAACAAAAGTGAAGTCACTTTGGATTCTACCAAATGTCTCCTGCCTAGCATGTTTTCACAAGAACAACTGATTTGTATCATTGGTAGAAGTTTTAGACTGAGGAAACAAAGACTGTGGCTTTTATGACTTCATGAATAAAAGACGGAGGAGGGCTTGTCTCTGTGGATTCGTGCCCTGAAGTGTCTTAACTTCTGGAAGGGAACCGTACTCACCTAGGTTGGCCCCAGCCAACTCTGATGACCTAAGCTACTTTAACACAACCTAATCATGCTACAGAATCGGGCTTATGTTGCATTATTACTTTTCCAGTACCGTGGTCCATAATCTGGCTCTTCAGGCACGCTAACCCCCTGTGGCCAACAACTGCCACCGTCGTTCTATTCATTGTTTTTCATGGCGCACATATTTAATTCAATTGCTATAGCTTATTTAGCATTTTTAATGCTTAAAAGAAAGACCTCAGAGTTTATAATTCAAATGAAAATACTAGTTCAAACTATAAAGAAACGTGCATCGTTGGCTTGGTATATAAATGTCATTATGCTTAATACCGTGAAGGGTAGGAAATAAAAATCAGTCTGTGCCTCAAGAAACTTTAATGTTCTCTGTGTAGGGTTAACAATCAAGATCATCATTTCTCTGATAAACGTCTCCTACCTTTTGTCTGAATCCAGTGGAAATCTTGAGGTCACCTTATCATTTGAGTTGGACATCACTCACATGTGCTTCTCTTAATTTTTTTTCTTCAAAATTTTAGAAGTCCTTAACTTTATTCTAGTATTTCAGAATCCTCTTGAGAGCATTTTTCCCAACTAAATCTGGGACCTAGATCTTACTCCCCCTCACCCAATCCCTATAAAACCTAGAATTGGTACTAAGCAAGATTAAGAACCATATAGAACTATTAAGATGGTTTCTTCTTAACCAGATAAGTCCAATTACTTTATATCTTTGAGATATATATATATATATATGTATTTTTTTTTTTGGTAACTAGAATATTTGTTATCCAGTAATATCCTCCCTCCACAATCTGTTCTAAGAGAAAACAGAGCCTCTGGTGCCCAAAGAGAATCTAATCTTCATTGGAGACTGAGTTTTTCCCTCTCCTTGCCGATTTGCTCCTGGGAAGCTATGAACCTCTTCACTTTCCTTTATTTTTCTTTCAGACACCAGTTGCTCAACTGAATAGAGACAGCACCTGAGATTGTGATATGTCATTGACCTTGCAATGATTTTCCTAAGTGGCATTCTATGTTCTTGGTGGGGTGTCTCCCCGTAGGAAGGAGCGTGGGCTTCACTTGGTGACAGGCTTACCTCCCAGCTCTAGTCTGTTTTGACTCGGTGACCTGGGTAAGCTACCACACCTCTCTGAATCTCAGTGTCTTTGCTTACAAAATCAAGGTAATAAAATCCACGTCATAAGATTATTATCCAGAACACCATAAGGATTCTATTTCTTCTTCCTTCAAGGAGCATCCCTTAAAAGTGATTTTCTGAAAAATACTTGCAAAGTTATCAGATGAAATTACTAAAAAGCATTCACCCAGAGGATTTCTGGGACAGCTTTGTGCATTTCAGCCTCTATGCCTAAAAATAAAAAAGCTTAAATGCCATAGTGGAGGAAATTCAGCTATTCTTTGCTAAGGGCTGAGATATTTAAATGAAAGTGTGATCAAGGAAAAGAAAGAAAACAGTTAAGAACAGTCAGGACTTGAGGAGAAACACTGAGGAAGAAAGGCTTCATCTGGGTCTGGTGGTGAAGAACCTGTCCCCACAGCAGAGCTGTCCACAGGCAAATCTCGGCTCTTTTGCTCACTGGCTGTGTTCTCTTGGGCACATAGTGTAATTTTGCCATGTCTCAGTTTCCTTATCTGTACAACTGGGGCATGAGATAGTGTGTGGGGGATACTTGGAACAGTGTTCAGCAGAGGAGATGCTCAGGAGGTGGCCACTACCATCATCAATGACATCTGCGTCTATGAAATGATTTTAGACTCTTTGTGCTTTGCTTTGAAAAATGATTATTGTATTAGGAAGAAGGTTTAAGTTATCAAGTCAGGCTTATAAACCTTTCGGACTGCTTTTTGGCTTTAATTGCAACTTGATTTAATTAGACCAATATAGTTTTCTATTGCTAGAAGAAACCTTAAAGACTGTCCATTCCAATCCCCTCATTTTATAGATAAGGAAACTGAGGCTCAGAGAAATTGTAACTCACCAAAGGCCATTCAGCACATTAGTTTAAACAAACAAATTAGAACTCTTGTGCAGTTTTCATGGGAATGTAAAATGGTGCAGCCACTGTGGAAAACAAGATGGCAGGCAGTTTCTCAAAACATTAAACATAAAATTACCACATGGTCTAGCAATTCCATTTCTGGATGTATCACCAGAAGAATTGAAAGCAGGGACTTGAACAGATATTTGTACACCAATCTTCACAGCAGCATTATTCACAATTTCTGAAAGGTGGAAACAATCCAGGTGTTCTTCGACAGATGAATGGAAAAACAAAATGTGGTATATCCATACAATGGATGATTATCCAGCCTTAAAAAGGAAGGAAATTTTGATGTTACAACATGGATGAACTCTGAAGTCATGCCTAATGAAAAAAGCCAAACCCCAAAGGACAAATGTATGATTCCACTTTTATGAAGTACCTAGAATGACCTAGAAAGTCAAACTTATAGAGACAAAAAGCAAAATGGTGCTTGCCAGGGACTAGGGGTGGGGGTGTAGGGAATTAGTGTTTAAGGGGTGTGGAGTTTCAGTTCTGAAGGATGGAAAAGGTTCTGGAGATGGATGGTGGTGATTTGCACAGCAGTGTGAATGCACTTAATGCTACTGTGCTAAACACTTAAAAATGATTAAGAAGGTAAATGTCATATTCTGTATATTATGCCACAATTTAAAAAAAAAATAGAAAAAAAGCCCTAAAACCCTGGGATCAGAATCCAGATATTCTTAACTCCTAGCCGGAGTTCTGAGCTAGACTACCTCTGGCCATTCCCCATTTTTCTTCTACTTCCCATTAATAAAAACAGGGCACAGACCTGACTAGGGTAGAGGCTGAAGAATAAAAGGATTAGGGCCCACCAGGGTTCACGGAGTGACCATGGAAGAGGATTCAGTGAGCAGGTTAGGAAGGAACAACTTCAGGTTGTATAAACATCTAAATCTAAAATGTGGCTACTAGTTTTACTTGTGGCGAAATAGGCCAATGGTTTTACAGTGTGATCTACCCAGAAACTGATGCCTGCAGTAACTTTTGAGTAGTACTAAGTAGGAACAAATAGTCCTAGGCCAGATAACTGAGGGCTTGGGGAATCTGTGTTAGAAGTTATGTAAGTGGAGACATTTTTAAGGACTCTGAACAAGACTTCATTTTGTTGTGCAATTCCAGTTCAAGATAAAGTGCATTGCTTTCTTTAAAAATATAGACTTCAAGCCCTTTTCCAGGATTTTGTGATCCCCTAAGATTCTGGGAGCTTGGTGACTTCAAGAGTTCCTAATGTTGAATGTTGACTCCATTAGATGGTGTCCTGCATGGTCCTAAAAATTGTCAGGAGGTCCTGCATGCTAAGTTTTGTATTATAATCACTTGTCATCACCCTTCATTTCATAGAGCTTGGTGATGATTAAAAACACAGAGAATTGCCAAGATAGAAAATCTTTCAAAAGCACTTGGTCTGAATCCCTCGTTGATAGATGAAGCTGAGACCCAGAGAGGTGAACCAACCTCACATGGTAGTGTAAAAGAAGCACACACTAGTCTGAGTCAGGGGACCTCCTTCCGCTCCTGCCACTGCTCTTCAGCCTACCTCTGCAAAGCAGGGATGAGTACCCCAACAGTACCCACTTCAAATGAGGGAGTACACATGAAAGCATTTG